TATTATTATTATTATTATTATTGCCCTCCGACAATTGAAGATGTTAGCACTAAAGTCCTAAAACGTTTCGCTCAATGTATACCGCTTACTATTTCTATCTTCATGCACGTCATGTTAGTACGTACCTACCAATGCCGAACTTCAAACTGAAGGAAATCATAATATTATTGATTGAATTCAACATTTCCTCCGTTCTCCTGTTACTTCCTTTGTGAAAATGCCAAAACCTTGTCTCTCCAAAACTCTGACAAGAAGTCTCTGTCGTTGAACCGAAATCTTGTGAGCATAATCTACTACTAAAACGACATTTCTTTTAGTATTTGTGATGTACCTACCAAATGCTTTGTAACAACCATACCTACGCTCATAAGATAATCCATTACATTCCTATAATACTATTACAGTGCATCGACACTACATCCCCAAATTATTGGTGTCGATGTGTTCGGTGTCGATCTTGTTCGTTGGTCCTCCACTTCTTGTCGTCCACGTAGGGCGAGCTTGTATCTTCGTATTGGTTTAATATTCATGTAGAGTATGAGACATTAAGTAAAAGTTTTCTGAGGTACATCTGCAATTGCCGGAAGGCAAAACAGAAAAAAAAGACGTCACACGTCCAGCACATACCAGTCTGCCGTACAAGGCTACATGGGAATGAAAATTGGTACTCCGCAAGGATTGACTCGTCGGATACCGGTACATCGGAGGGACAGAGAAACGGTGCGTGCCCCCCAACTTCTTTACCCAGCACGTCGCACGCCAAGCCAACGCCTTGGCATGTATATCCAGTACCACCAGAAAAACATAGCGGGAACTACCATACATAAAGAATGTTAGCCCAACAAAGAAGGCCAAACCAACCAGTGTGGAACAAACCGTATGCAGAAATTATTCTACCTCCCACCGCCATTTGAGATGTTTCCCTGGCAAACAACAGCCCGCCGGCCGCAACATTCCATTTACCTCCCAGAAAAACAACAATAATCTACTATGGGAATTTCATACCATTTGGCCGTGGAAATTAATGTGTCCCTGCAAGGTAAAACGCGAGTGGACATCTCTAGTCTGCAGAACAAAACCAAAGCAAATCCAAACCTGCGAAACCGCCAACGATAGGCAAAGCGATTTGCAGACATTCAACAACGGTGAAAAGTGCAGCAGTTAGTCTTTTTTGGGATCTGAAGAGGAAACACAAACACAACAGATTGCACAACTCCAAATCGAAGCAAAAAGAAATCACAAAATGTGGCGTTCTGCAGCAGCGGAGGTGGCGGTACTGCTGTGGTAGCTCGTAGACTTTATTGTCTACCACAGAGGTTACACTGCTGTCACCGCGGTGCTGCTGTAGCTCGTAGACTTTGTCGTCTATCACAGAGGTTACACTGCTGTGAGATCGGTAGGCCCGAGCGAGCTTCGGAAAGAGAAATGTAGATAGATGTTCTTATCAACTGACTCCCTGGTCAGGCTTCGATGGGTGCTACATGAGAGTGAGCACAAGGGGCGAAGGCGTGCCTGTGTCTCAGCTCAAGAAAAAAAAAAAACAAGCAGCAAACACAACAGGTTCCGAGGGTCTCCGGGGTATTGGCCCAAATACCGGAATTGCGGGGTTCGGAATAATAAAACAACTAGTCTACAGTCTCGCCTGCCAAATTATCTCCGCTACAACTCTGTGCTCATGTTCTCTGCTAAGTACCATCTCTGCTTTCTGTAATATGTCTACGGAAGGCTAGTTGCCGCAGTCGCACCTATGGTAAACTGTGCCTGACTACGTTGTAACAGTTTTCCTCGACATGACCCCTCGATTAGGCAAGTAGCCGATGTTCCAAAAACGAAAAAAAGAAAAGCTTCACTTCGCTGCCAATTTGTGCGACCCCTCGATTCCCAATCCATATCAAAGAATATCTACCTCCACATGAGCGAATCCATCCTGTGAGCAATACACGCGTTCAAAACATTCAACCATACTATGCGATCTTGCGCTTAATATAATTCTAGCACTTGTAGTTCTTGATGAGTTGCATGATGGTGGCGAATCGCTGCTTCGGGAGATGTTTCGTCGCGATGTCCGCCAACATCGTGGCACCAGGTTGGTGGTGGAGAGTGATCCGGTTGCCCCTTCGTGAGTTCCCTGAGGAAGAAGAACAGGAGCGCGNCTGTGAGCAATACACGCGTTCAAAACATTCAACCATACTATGCGATCTTGCGCTTAATATAATTCTAGCACTTGTAGTTCTTGATGAGTTGCATGATGGTGGCGAATCGCTGCTTCGGGAGATGTTTCGTCGCGATGTCCGCCAACATCGTGGCACTAGGTTGGTGGTGAAGAGTGATCCGGTGCCCCTTCGTGAGTTCCCTGAGGAAGAAGAACCGGAGCGCGATGTGCTTGGTTCTAGAGCTGAACATCGCGTTGCTGGCCACAGTCAATGCTCCGGTGCTGTCGCTGTTGATGGGTACCGATCGAAAGGTCTTGAATCCGATTTCCGTCATGAAGTTGGAGATGTAGACTGCCTCGCGAGCACTGAAGCTCAGCGCTTGAAGTTCGGCCTCCACGGTGTTCTGTGCTGCGAGAGTCTGTGCCTTGGCTCCGTAGCTGATGAGTCCCCCTCCTAGGAAGAACAGGTATCCGGTTATAGACTTGCCGTCGGCTCCAAGTGACGAGTCAGTGCAGCCCCTTCTTGTACACGATCGGCAGGTCCGGCGTTCCGCGTAGGTACCGTAGTAGGTGCTTGGCCGCAGCCATGTGGACCTGTGCTGGGTTTGCGCATGCCCGTGTCAGTTGGTGCACTGCGTATGACAGATCGTAGCGGGTGCATTGGGCAAGGTACAGGAGACTCCCGGTGGTGGCCTGGAATCTCTGCTTGTCCTCGGGTCCGAGTAGTTAGTCTTGTGGCTGCTCGGTTGATAGTTCTGCTCCCTCTCTCCTGCGGTTGAAGAGGGAAGTTATGTGACTCTTTGGGCGGAGTACGTAGTTCGCCGCGGAGTTACAATCGTAGTCTTCAGCGATGCTGTGCGAGACACGCTGCGTCCAGGCAGCAATCCCACACACGCACTTCCGCAGTTCGTATGCAGACGTACATGCAAAAACGTGTATCCGCGCGCACATTTTGAGAGGATCTTCAAGACTGATGCATCCGCCCGATCTGTGGGGGGATGCTACACACGAAAGCACACACCAAGCAACACGCGTCACACACTGATACTGCTACTGCATGCCATGCAATCTGCACCTCACGGCACTGCCGCTGGCTTTGACAAGCGATGGCGGCAGAGACGGATGCACTACTGCTGTAGATAGAGTCCATAGGGCGGTGCGTGTGGTGGTCGGAACACAATCCAAACATGCCGAGCCAGCCCTGACCGTTCTAACCGTCCGTGCTCTCACGTGGATGAACAACCTCACCATCTCACTCTCGTTTCTCATGTTTTGATTGCTTAAGGCGGAGGTATACGATTGCTTCTCTTGCCCCCCCCCCCCCC